TAGTGCTTTTATTGCTCGCTGTATACTTGGCTAGGGCCTGATCTAGACTCAGAAGTTAAATTGGCGTAACTACAGTACTCATGGGTATGGTAACAATGCTGACCTAACCCCCAGTGTAGATGCAACTAGGTCAACAGAAGAATGTTTCAGTCAGTCTAGCTACCATCACTCAGGGAGGTGGAGTTCCTGCAGCAACAGAAAAATCCCTTTCATCGTTGTAGGATGCATCTGCACGACAGTGGCAAAGCTACAGCACCGTAGCTATGCCACTGCAGTGCCCGTAGTGTAGACATGGCCTAGGTGTGGAATACTTGTAAGACAACAAGTGTCTGTTTCTATCTAATGGTTCTCTAGTAGCCTACATAAAGCGAGCTTACTATTCCAGTTCCCAGTGGACAAGTGTACACATCTCTGAGCCCACGACCACAACTGATGATGTTTGGTAACCTGGCTGGTGTTCTTAGCAGAGATCAGGAACTCATGGGTACTCTGGAGATCCAACTCCCCTCTCATCCGTAGAGGTGGTCTTTGGAGTTTGGGGCAGAAGCATGTCAGTGGGATATTCTAGGAAGCTTCTGCTGTCACTTCCTGTTTTGTGGATCAACAAGGAGGTTAATTTTACCAGAGTTTTCACCAGCACTACATTTGTGGGGGTTTTTTTGTTTTTTTTTTAAATGAACTTAAGCCTCCCACTAAAACCTTGACACTCAATAAATGATAAGGAATTAACTGAGTCAGAGGTCTGCTCTACTCTGTTTGGTAGTCAGTAGGTTTCTGTTGCACCGAGTAACATTGTAAGAGCTGATGGCTGCTATGTGCTGTGGTCAGAATTAAGATGTGGCTGCTTCTGGCTAACTTCTTGGCTCCTTATTTACCTGATGATATAACAAAAATATTTGTATTTAAAATTCCTCTATGTTGAGGTTCTTCAAAACCTGTCTTATTGAGAGGCAGCATGATCTAGTAGTATGAGCACAAGACTGGGAGCCAGGAACTCGTAAATTCTAGTCCTAGTTCAGTCACTGCCATCAGTTGTGGCCTTGGTTAAATGACTTGACTTCAATGTTTGCCCATCTATAAAATGATGGGTAACGTACCAGCTGTGCAAGAAGGCTGTGAAAATTGGTTAATGTCTATACAGCACTTTGAAGATGTCAGACCGTAGATATGTGAAAAGTGTTTTTGCTATGAGTGATTTGTACAATGCATGCACAGGTTTTTGTGTAATTAAATTCAAATTCCACATGGATCACAAGTGGAATTAGTTGGGTCTCATCCCATTACCTGCTTGTGTAAATCTCAAAACCACCACACAGTTTGGAACAATCCTGACTCTTTCAGGAAGGAAATCAGACTGGAATGATAGTAGAAGGTGTTGCAAGTCAGGGTTGAGGTGCATTGGCAGAGTTGTGTGGAGGGGGTTTGCACATCCCTGCTTGGAGTGATAAGTGCAGAAGCCACTCACACAAAAGCTGTCTTCTGGGCACCAATATCCCTCCTCTTAGGGGCAAGCTGGGTCCTCCTTTTTCCCCAGACCAGCACACCTTGTCCTTGGACCCCACCCTCCCAAGTAGAGGATGCTGTATGTGGGTGCCTGTGCTGACATAATGCCACCATAGCCCTGATGGAGTAGTGATAGCAATGAGGGCCCCCACACAGAGTTCTCTGCTTGGTGGAGTGGGAGGAAGTCCACCCACTTACGATGCTTGGGGCAGTTTACACCTCTTGGAACTATTATGTCAGGCCCTCTCCAGAGTCAGGCTGGTCTCAGTGCATTGATTAACCTCAGGTCATATTTTTTTAGCCTCTCTTCGCGACCATGAAGTTTAGAACCTTTTTTGGTAAAAATGCTGAGATTCTGATCAAAGCTGGGGCTTCAGGCATGGCCTGATAGTGCCTGTGCTTTAGTTTAGCTCTGGTCTAAAACCTACTCAGAATGGGAACAATCTCTTTGGCATCTTCACTGCCTTAGGAAAATGGTTCTCCAGCCATGATCTCGTAGTCCATTAATGACTCCGAACAAGCTTTGGGAGGATGCTGACTTTTCAAGTTACGTAACCCTAATCACATACGTTTAAAATATGTGTACATACATTAGACACTGGCTTAATGAGTTCTGAATACTGTTTCTGCTAGGTGCTTTTCATTTTAAATGACTATCTAGAAAGCCTTAAAAGTATGAACCTAAATTCTGTTTGTTTCTTCACTCTCTTCATGTCAGTCACTAGAGCATGTTCTGGTTTGTTGTAGGGCTGCTAATTAACCTAATTTTTCATTACAGCAAACAGCAGGGAAACATTTTGACTTTTGGGGAAGTAGGAAAACTGGGGGTCTGATAAACTTGACAAGCTTTCTCCCTTTTGTTCTCCTCCTCTAACATCTCCCACTACCACCGCTGCCCTCCCAAAAGTTAAAATTCAGGGTCTCCATTCATAGGCAAGACCACATCTTGCTGTTCAAACTAGTAGTCTTTTTCAGTCCTTAGTGCTTATAAGATCGATGTGCTGAAACTGCACCAAGGTATACGTAACCAGGCTGATGAGTAAAGGTTTCCCAACTCACCAAATGATCAAGCACATGTCATACCTAGGATAACTTGGTTTAAATCACTGATGACCTGATTTTTAAGAGCACTTGCAGCTCTCATTGACTTCAGTGAGGTTTGTGGGTGCTCAGCACTTTTAAAAATCGGGTTACTAATCTCTCAGGGTATATCTACACTGGAAAAAAACAACAACCCCACAGCAGTGAGCCTCAGAGCCAGGCATACAGAGCCACCTCCTTCGCTGGGTTTCAGAGCCTGCGTTCCAGCTGAGCAGGAATGTCTACACTGGTATTTTTAGCACTGTAATTCGTGCCTGTAGGCCCAGGCTCTGAGATTTGCTGCCGTGGTGGTGGTTGGGTGTTTTTTTGTTTGTTTTTTTTGCAGTGTAGACATACCCTCAGTGCTGCCCCAGTTTTCCTGTCTGCACGATGGGGATATTTACTACTTATGTCACAGTGATAGGAAGATGAAACTAAATTTAGTTTTTGTAAGGGACGGACTTTGCAATTCACAGATAAGTGTTAGAGTGTTTATAGCCCAAATGTGCCTCAGATACCCAAACCACATGTGTGTATCAGGGTATGTCTACACTGCAATTAGACACCCACGGATGCCTGTGCCACTTGACTCAGGCTGTGGGGCTCAGGCTAAGGGGCTGTTTAATTGCAGTCTAGACATTCAGGCTCGGGCTGGAGTCCGGGATCCATGACCCTCCAATCTCACAAGGTTTGGGAGGGACAAACTGTTCTCTTGAGGTCATGGCAAGTTCATAGGCTTTGGACCTCAACACAAGACCAGTAGAGCATTGATGTTAAGGAAATCTGCAAGGCCTTTAGGGGGTAAGCTGGGACAGGGTATATTCCTTTATCAAAATGTTTAATTGTGAGGGATTGGGGAAGGAATGGTCACTCCTCCAGGATCCTCTGCTCCTTCCCCTACAACAGCCCAATGGGTCAGTGGCCCCTCACTCTGGCAGAAGAGGCATGGGCACAGCTTCCTTTGAAGACCCTTGGAAGTTGGAGGGTAAGTAACAGAATTGCTTGAGGTAGTCATTGGGATAGATTTGGACTGGCCCCCTTGGGATGGACTTCATGAGCTGAAAGAGATCTTTTCAGTCTAATTTCTGATTCCTTCCTTCACAGCCCTGGGACTGAGCCAGAGCTGACTTTTGGGGACTGGAAAATCAATGGGCACAGGGTGCGAATATTATCTTGTCAGGGAAGGATGGGGGCTCTGAGGTGGGAGATGAGGGACCCCTTATGTCCTAAAGCCAATCCAAGACTGAGCTTGCTGCCTACTGCTTATTTGAAGATGGAAGGTCTGAGTCTCTTGGCTAACATCAGGCTGGAATTTAATGTCTGGCTTTTTGCCACACAATAAATAAAACACAAAAAGCCCCAAATCATGTAGGAGTGTCCTCCTTCAGTTTGAATCTGAGCCCCTTTCTAGGAAAGCAATCCACAGGCTAGATTTCATACTAGTGGTGTATTTAAACTACCAAGTTACAGCCCCAAGAAACTGTATACAAGGCCACTCTAGCCTCACTAACCAGGCTATCGTTAGACTATGGATTGGTTTTGGTCAATCAGTACAAATAAGGAAATGCGAATAGTCAACTGGGCGGGCTGGTGCTATTGTGTATTGTAGTCTGAAAGATCAAAGGTTTGCATCTCTTTATTTTTCTTCTGAGTATTAGGGATTTATAAGGAAATCCAGGTTGTGTGATTCTGTCTGGCTTCAGATTCAGTCTCTGTCCTCTCACCCCTCCTGCTTTGTTAGCTGCAGTTTCTGACCATGTTAAATCCCATTTGTTAGATGTTGTGCCCCAGCTAGCTGCCAGTGGTTGGGGCACAGGCCTGGAAGTCAGGGAGCCTGGGTCCTCTTCCTCGCTTTGCTACAGTGAGTACGTTTAGCCTAGAAAAATAGTTTTTAAATACAACTTAACATGTTTTAATAAACACTAATGTCGATTTCAGAGGAACAGCCGTGTTAGTCTGTATTCGCAAAAAGAAAAGGAGTACTTGTGGCACCTTAGAGACTAACCAATTTATTTGAGCATGAGCTTTCGTGAGCTACAGCTCACTTGCCTTTTAAAAAAGATTAGCTGGTCATAGTCAGGCTTGGTGGGAAGAAAGTAGGTTTTTTCTGGTCAGTGATGACAAATATGAACCTTGTTGGTTATTTATATGTATTTTATTACATGGTACGCTCACTCTTTAAGGCCCTGCTTTGTGCTCCGGATTTTGCACATTACCTGTGGGAGGATTGGGTTTTTGCTTAAAGGAAGTGCTAGACCATAGTGTCAAAACTAAAGGGAAGATTGAGGAACTCATCCCTTATTTGGGTACTACTAACCCATCCCTGCCAGACCTGACTTTATCTCTGCAGTTCATATAAACACTTCTGGAAAGCAAGTATTCAGTCTTTAGAATGTCTGAAATGGTTTTTAAAATACCTGCTTTTGGTTCATTTTCTGGTGGGATGATGCCTCTTCTCAATGCAAATTGCACACATTGTTTGCTGCTTTGCTTTTGTTCCATGCCATGTATTTTTCAGGAGCAAAACATGAACCTTTTACAGTTTGCTTAATATAAGTGTGTGATCTACTTGGTGTTTTCTCCCTCCTCAGTTATGATGATGTGTCTGTTTGAATGGAAAAATAAGTTAATAGATGCCCAGTTCCCTCCCTTCTCCCAGCAGAACCCCTGGGACATGGGTTTCTCGCAGGTGAAAGGAGAAAATGTGTGTTAAAATAATGGCAGCCTATCACAGGTAACTATAGAAATTAGATACAGAGCTTGTTAGGTCAAATCATATAGGGAGATTAAATATGGCTCTGTGTGGTTTTAATTGTGGTGTGTGTGTGTTTTAAGAAAGAATGGGGAAAGTTTACAAAACCAAATTAAAATGTTTCTGTGAGCCTTCCTTTTTTTAATTCCAGTGGATAGTTTTGGGGTGGGATTTTTTCAGATTTTGGTTTGTGTTTTTTACCAAACCTTCCCCTGCAGTACTAGCTACCCAAAGTTAGATTTGCACTTGTACAGCTGGAAGAGAAAGTGAAACTATTCTGCTCTCTTTCGACATGCTGAGAAATGCATAAGGTAGGCAAATCTCAAAAGTAATAAAGTAAATGGAGTTTGCAGCATTTTTTTGTGAGAGCTAGAACATGATCAGTAATGCAAGAAGGAATTGGGGAGAGTGGTTAGATATGGGGCCATATCTTGCTCAGTTAACCTTTATGATCCTGTAGAAGTCACTAGTGCAGATCTTTTAAATCAAGAAGAGAATTTGGCCTCTGTCACTTTCCCTTGAATGTGGAAGCATATGGCTGGATTTCTTGATCCAGATGCCCAATAGTGGATAAGTGAATATGTTGCAATTTCACAAAGAATCTTTTAAGTTAAAAATTTCTCAGTACTTCTCAAGCTTCTGGAAACATGGAAAAAATGTGCTTTGTACAGCCTTTCCAGGCATCTCTGGTGAGAAAGTTTATTGCCTGTAATGTAGAATTCTAGTGTTTCATTTTTGAATACCTGTTTGGTGGTGTTGGAAGAGGGATTGCTGGAAAGTATTCTATGGTGCCTAGGGCTCATATCCTACTTTATCACTTATGTGAATTCAAATTCCTCTTCCCTACCATGATTTCAAAGTTTACAGTGTACCACCTAGCCTCTAAATTTACTTTCACCTCCTCCCTGGATACCTCCTTTTCAGATGGAGGAAAATAGGACCAATAGCATTATCGAAACATCAGCCTGGGACCTAGGAACTGCTCAGCTCTGACACAGATTCCCTCTGTAGCCTTGAGTAAATCACTTGGGCCCCAGGACTGCGATGAGCTGCGTATGAGTACGCTTGTATTGAGTTCAGTGGGGCTCCATCTGTGCAGAGCTCATTGCAGGATAGTGATCTTAATCTCTCTGCTTCAGTTTCCCCATTTGTATAAAATGTGGTACTATCTCAAAGGATGTCGAGAGGGTTGGTGACTCTAAAAGCGACAGTGTGTATGTGCTAAGTATATTCTAGCTATAAAGATGAGATGTGCATTAGAAATATACATAGATAGGAGACGTTGGCATCAATAAAATATTCCCCCCCCCCAAGTAAAAGGAGATTCTGTGTCTTAAGCAATAAATATAATGAGATATTCATCCTGTGTCTCTGGCATTTCCAGAACAGAACAGTTGGACGACCCAAAGGGAAACTGGGCACTGCCTCTGCAGTGAAGCTAGCTGCTAATCGGACGACTGCAGGAGCGCGGCGGAGAAGGACGCGATGCCGCAAGTGCGAGGCTTGTCTACGTACAGAGTGCGGCGAGTGTCACTTCTGCAAAGACATGAAGAAGTTTGGTGGGCCTGGAAGGATGAAGCAGTCCTGCATTATGAGGCAGTGCATCGCAGTAAGTGTCCAGTTGTAGCTATGGCTCTCTTGAGACACCTTGACAAGCCTTGTTCTGGTGGCTTGTGTCAGAGTGTACCTACCCATCTTTCAGAGGTCCTACTGTCCCTGGTGACTAGACATGGGCCATAGAACTCAATCCTCAAAGTTCATCTCTCCTATTTTAAAAGCAGTCGGCAAAGCAAGCCTGGATCCCATTTGAGAGATGCTTCTCAGACCTCTTTCCTCCCCCTTCTCTCCAACCTTATTTAAAAATGTAATTTTGGATTCTCAGTAGGTTTGGTGTGGGGGTCAGCATGAAGAGAGGATATTAAAAATGTGCCAAAACTTGCATCTTGAATATGAACCTCTTTGAATTTCAGGATGGTGGAAAATTCAAGTCCGATTCAAAACAAAGGATGGGGGCGGGGGCCTGTCTTCTGCTTTGGATCTTGTCAGAAACCAACCAACTGTACCACCTCAACTAAAGAAGGTGGAAATCTTGGGCTAAAATCTCCCACAATGTTGACACTGTTGGAACCTGGATCTCAGACTAAACCAGATCCAGATTTGAATTTGCCACCTCCTCAGCTGTTCCTTTCACACTGAGTTGCTGTGTTGTTCCAGTGGGTATACATCCACTCTCTGAAGGGAGGAAACTCCAGCTTTTCTGTCCCATTTTAGTTGTGGTTAGCTGTATTTGTAAGTTTGAGAGTTTCCCCTGATGGATTCAAAGGCCTTATCTGTGCTGGGATCAAACTGTGCTGGCTATTATTACTATTTGCTTTTTTTTTTTTTGAAGGAGAAGCACATTGTCTGCTGGTGGTGGTAATACTTCTGTAGTGGCTTCCATCTGATCTTAGTTTAGTCTCCCAGCACACCTATGAGTTACGTACATTTATTAACTTTATTTTTTATTTGAGGAAACTGAGGCAGAGAGAAATTGTGCTTTGTCCAGGGTCACACAGCAAGTGAGTAGAAGAGCCCTGCATAGAACCCAGATCTCCTGGGCCTGATTTTCAAGAGTGTTCAGCACTCAGCAGCTCCCACTGTTCTCCATAGGAGCTGCTGGGTGCTGAGCTGTTCTGAAAATCTGGCCCTCTGGCTCCCAGTCCTGTGCTAGGCCATTCATCCCTTTTAGAACAGGGGACGTGGATTCACTTCTTCTGGGTATGTTACTGGCTCCATCAGACTTGCTCCATGACCTTGATCAAGGTTTTTAGCCTCTCAGTGCCTCAGTTTCCTGATCTGTAAATTGGAGGGAATACCTCCCTCTCTGTAAAGTACTTTTGCAGCTCTAGCATGCTTTTCATCCGAGTACTTTCAATGATTATTAACTGAGCTGTGACATGAATTTATTGACCAGTTTGGATGGAGAAATTTTTTAGTCATGCTAGTCAAATCTTGCTCCCTCTTCTTGTTGAGGGTCTACCGGAGGTTTATAACATGGCTTCACGGTCTCAATTGGTCAGGGAAACTGCTATCAGCAACCAGTTTCAATCATAGTGTATAGTCCTGATCCCTGTGAAGGAGACGGTTAGCAAAGTTGCACTGTTCTGTCAGCCAATAGTTGCTTGAGGGATGCTCCATTTCTTCTGAGTAGTCCTAAACAAAGCAGGGCCACTCCTGCTTTGGGGGGAAAACAATGCTAAAACCATTTTCCCTCTCTCTGACCAGTTCAGGTGTGTGTCCAGAATGATCACAGACCTTCATGGAACTGGATTCTGTTCTGGGCATCTTTCCCTATATTCTATGGGAAAATATTTTTTCCTAGATCAGTTCTATTTCAGCAACTTTATGTCAGAGAGCTGTAGTCTGATCACATGATTGGGAGTCAGGATGCCCATTGGTGCTAGTACCAGTGGGAATCTTATTTCCACTTCTCCCTTGCAAAGAAGGCCTGTAGAATTGTCTGGTTACAGTTTAAAATGGTTCATTTTGAACCATTGTAGTTTGTAACCGTGCCTCGTGTTCCACTAGCCATCCTGCCTTATATAAACTTGGTCAGTGTGTCCTTCGGTTGTTGCAATAGCAGTACATTGTGGGTACATATCCCACAGTTTCCAGCACAGGTCCTCAAGGCGAGGCTTTGTGGAAGTAATAATCCACAGTTTGTTCTAGTGCTGTTCAATAGATTTTTGCTTTCCAGTTTAAAAATATCAATTGTATAAAGAACATAGGTATTTGGTAACATTACAAGCCTTAAGAGAACCTGTACTGCACTTCATAAAACAGGAAACTAATCTGCATGAAATGACTGAAGCTGCAGTAGCTCAGAACAAGAGAGGAGATGAGTATGTGAGATGTTGTGTGTTGCACAGAGTGGTTCTTCAAGGTGATGCAGGGGCATTGTGCTGGGAGGACCAATTGTAATGGTTTAGCTGCAATACTAGCAGTTTGTCAACATGGGCATTTCAGTGGTGTGGGGTGACCTGCGGCAGGATATAGAACTGGAGACCCTTGCCCCAAGCAAGAACAATTACAATAATGCTGACAATGTCTGTGCTTTTGCAAACACTTTTGTGCATAGACATAGTGTGTTACAAACATGGCAGCTGCTTGCAATACAAAAAATTTCTAGTAGGCAGAACTTCTGTGGCTTTGAACTTAACTTCTGTCAGTTTTCCCCAACTGCAGACTGGAGATAATCTCTCAGTGTGTCTGAGGATTAGTTAGTTAATGTTTTAGAAAAGTTCTCTAAAGATGAAGTGTGCTGCATAAGAGTTAAGTATTTATTGACATGGTAAGGTTTAGAAGGGTTACCAAAGTTTAGATATTAACAGTTGATGTATTGGGCAGGCTGAACAGTAGTATCTTCAGTGTCACTCATTTTATTTTATCCTGCCTGAGATTTCAGACTATCTGCAGATTTCAGTCAATGTAGTTATCCAATGATGGTTTGTTGGGATTTGTATATACTTCTAAAATGAATCCTTTGCCATGAAAGCCAGTTCTGAGCTCTTGAGTGGTTAATAGATAAGTAGTGATATATAATGGATGGATAGATAATTATAACCAGCTTCTTTTGAATGTCTTTGTTCCTCTCCTTGTCACAAGACTTGTACCATATTGCAGCAAACCAAGTACTTGTGTAACTCCCACCTGCTCGGTGTGGCACTCTGTCCTCCTCAGCTGTAGAGATGGAGTCTGCTACAGCCTGGACTAAGAGAGAGGTGTCTTTTAGCTCATGCAGTAAAGGCTCATGCATTTAACTCAAGAGGTCCCAGGTTTGTTCCTTGCTGATGACATCCAAGGTGGTCAGCGTTACACTTGTGTGTGTTTTAGTGCAAAGACAGTTTCCTAATTAGACTGACATTCTGGCACTTTGATACCAAGATAAGAGAAATAACTAAAGTAGGTGGAGAATTGCAGCATCTTAACTGAGATCTGGC